GCGCGCGCCGCGGCAGCACCCGCCAGGCGGTCGGAGGTCGGGCCTCCGAGGGGGGCGCCCCCTGCCAAGGCCACGCCGCCGCCGGGCCCGCCGAAGATGCTCGGGCGCACCCATGGCTCCACGAACGCGCGGTTCAAGCGCAGCCGCAGCCACTCGACGTGCGGGGCTCCTCGGCCAGGCTCGGCGGGCTCCCCGCACAGTGCCGGTCCCTGCCCGCGCGAGCGCAGGAGGCTGCAGGCCCAGCGCCGCGCGGCGGGGACAGGACATCCAGCTGCTTCGCCTCGACCACCAGCGACGCTCTCCTGAACTGGGCGCATCGTGCTGCTCAGAACGGCCCGTGGCCCCGATCTCCGCTTACCTCGAACGAGGCAGTCCCGCTGATGCCCCCAGCTGCGACCAAGGTCAGGAGCACGAGATTCGCACCTCGGCGCCAGGCGGCACCAGGCAGGGCCACGGGCCGCCGCCACGGACCGCCCACGAGAGTCCCAGCCGCGCGCCGGCCGTGGGGGGCGACCGGCTCGCCTGCCACCGCGATCGGCAGTCCACGGATCGTCGGCCCCCAGGTGCCGCACGTGGAGGAGGGCCACCAGGGGGGGGGCCGACGCCGCCGTCCACGAGTGCCCCCACCAGCGCAGCGCCCACGTCGCCGAGGGGAAGCCTCCGCCCCAGGCACGGCGCCGCCACCCGGGGGCGCCTCAGCACCCGCGCCGCCTCCGAGGTCGGGCAGGCCGGGCAGCGCCGTCAGGCCAGGCGCCGCAGATGCGCCAGCGCCCTCGCCGCGGGCGCGGCCGCCGTAGCACCGCCGACCGCCGCAGCCGCCGCCAGGCCGGAGCAGCCGCGGGAAGGCGACGGCGCCTCCGCCTCTCTCCGCGGCTCCTCGCCCGAGGCCGCCGGCGCCGCACCCTCGGCTGCGGCCGCGCGCACACGGCCCCAGGACTTTCGCCTTAGCCTTAGCCTCGGCCCTGCCCCTGGCGACGGCCCTCGCCTTTGACGATCTCGACCCCCCAGGCCAGCGAGCGCGAAGAGCAGCGCGCCCGAGACCCGGGCGGTCACGAGCAGCACCGCCCTCTCCTCCACGCCGAGGCGGGCGTGCCACCCCGCCTGCTGGGTCAGCCCGATGACGTAGCCCAGCTCGCAGACCTCCAGGAGGGCTCCGCCTTCGGCCAGGGCCAGCGACTCCCCTCGCCCGAGGGGTCCAGCGCACCAGCCGCAGAGGCACACGGGCGGCGGGCGCGGCACGGTGGTCCTCGGGAGCGGATCTGCCCTCCCTGGAGGACGCAAAACCAGCCAGAACAGCTGCCATGCAAGCGAAAGCGGCCGATGTGACACGCTACCCCTCCGACGCCCACACATCTTCCGTAAACGTATACATATATATATATATATATATATATATATATGTGTGTGTGTGTGTGTAAAGATGTTGGATCTGGCAAAGGCTGGAGTTTGATCCTCATCTTCAGGCTTCTTCGTATATTTCTCTGGCAAGGACTGGAGTTTGATCCTCATCTTCAGTTTCCTCGTTGGCTTGGTTTCTTTCGAAATTGGCCACAATTATCGTTAATCTTTGTGCAAATTCGACTATGAGCAGGCAGAGAACAATCGGGCGAAGCACCAGCCAGGCAGGGGTCATCGGCGAGTGCGGCGCGGCAGGCGGCCCCGCAGGCATGATTCCGGTGACACAGACATGCCGTCGCCGTTCACAGCAAATTCTCGACGGAAAACTGTTGATGCAGCTTGTGGGCTCCGCGGGCGACCGGGCCGCGAAACACTGCGGAGGATGAACCGCCAGAACCACAGGGAAGGGCCAGGCCTTGTGGTGACCCCGTATTGAACAAAATCGGGCGACTGGTAGTCCTTGGCGAAGAGAATTGTCCACGTGCTGACCCAACTTCCGAGGCAGATCCAGCCAGCCGTGGAGACAAGGAGCATACAAGTGGAGGTGGCCCAGACATGCACGCGTGGCCAAACAAAACACACAGCGGAACAATTGTGTTGACGTTTCCGACCTCTGCGGGCCACAGGGTCGTTAAACACTGCTTGGGGTGGAAAGCCAGAAGACCTGGGAAAAGGGTCGGGATTCTAAGTGCCTCGTAAGGAAAAAAACATAGAATCAGATGTCTCGTGGTCCGTACGCTGCAGCCAAAGCGAAGAGAACTGTGCACGTGCTGACTGGCCGGAATCTCGAGGCGAATCCAATCCAGGCGAGGCGAAAAAGAAGCCTCTAGGGGCCCAAAAAGACCTGACTGCGTCAGGGGGAGGGGGATCCAGCGCCGATTCAAGAAATCCGCGCGGACACCAGAAAGCTTCTATTTATGCAGATGCGTTTGTTTGAATCGCTTCTCTCCTGAACCAATGTGGGGCGACAAGATCTATACACATCCACCGCCCTTGGCCATGCTCATCCTGGGCCCAGGAGCGGTGCATACGCCCTCCTGGCCGAACTAGGAGACATGAACGTTCGGAGGTCCGCGCGGGTTCCTTCCTCCTCCTGGCGTTAAACGGCGCGGACCACCGAGACGTTTTTGTTTTCTGCAATTTGGCACTCAACTGAAAAGGATACAGGAAGCGTGCACTCGCACTGATCTTGGCCAAACCCACCCCTTCGCCTCAGGCTCAGTGCAAGAGCCTCCCTGGCATATGCCAGCAGGACGTGAACACCGATCCTAAGCTCAAAATGGCCTGGCCGACAACAGGGCAGTGTGACCCGAGGTCCATTCTAAACTATTCAGATAAACCTAGGACCTAGGGGAATCGTGGAATCTCCAGCGCGAGTCGAGGAATAGAGAATATCGTCGAGCCCTTGACGACTTCGCTCGTGGCAAACTGTCGATTAGCAGCGGTGAGCAGCCGAGCGTCAGGCATTTCTAGAACGTCATTGACGAGCTGGAGCAACCCTGAGGGGGGGGGGCGTTAGGGGGGAACCAATTCAAAAAGGGAAACGTTGGTCTGGAATCGGCGGTGCATCGCGGGATCAGCGAGAAGCCCCCGATAGTGGGTCCACACACTCCTGGGCGGGGTGGGGCACCCGAGCTACCAGTGAATGGGCGATTGGGGGTCGTTGCGTCTTCCCCCGAGCCCATCCTCTCCTAATGCTGCCCCCGACGGGAGAGAGGGAGAGAGATAGAGAGAGAGAAACGTTCTCAACTGCGCCACCAGGTAGGAAATGCCGACCTGGGGGTCTGAACGTCTGAAGCACACGGGCGGCCCACGGTCGCAGGCACGGTGCAGCGCTCGCGGAGAGGGCAGGGCAGCCCGGGCGCCCGTCCAGACGACTCAAGACCGGCCAGCGTGACACGTGGATCAGAAAAGAACCCGAACTCCCGTGCGGGGGGAAGAGAAGATCAGAGGTGAAACAGGGACCACGGCCGCAACCAAGAATGGAGGGGCCCTTGGACACACAAATAAATAGACACGTAACAGTGCTCCCCATATTTTACCACATGTTCTGGGTTTTTACCTTCCCCCCACACTTTCCATATTTTCCCATATTTCCTGGGGAATCGACGATTACTGATATAGTAATTGTCCGTGTGTGATTTTCCCCTCCTGACAGGACCCAGCGGAAGGGCCCGAACCCTGGGGCGGCGGCACGCTGCAGCGTCGCCCAGGTACAGGGCGGCGCGCAGGCGTGCCTCCGCCCCAGGAGCCGGCTCTCGGTGGCGGTGGTCTCTCTCTTTCCTCCGAGGACGGGGCGAACGAAGAGCAGGAGCTGGAGAACGAGGTCAAGACGACGACGAGGTGTAAATGTGAATTCTATGTATAACTCCCGCGCGTGGGCACCGTCAAGGGTGCTGCGGGTGCGGCGCCGAAGCGCCGCTCAGCGTGGCGATCTTCACGACATGGCAAAACTTAGTGGAGGAGAACGAAAAGGAGGAGGAGGAGATCATAAGTAATAAGCTATCCGCTTGGCCCGCTCAGCCATGGTGTCGGACGAAACCTGCTTCCAGCGTATCCCAATCTTAAGTTGATGCGATCTGTGTAATATCCACCATCCCAACCTCACGCCCCAAAGCGTGCCCACGATAGCTCCTTATGCCGTCAGCCCATCTGGTTTTGGGTCGTCCAGACGACGACGAGGTGGAGACGGCGAAGGAAGACCGAGGCCCAGCACGGAGGCGGACAGGAGCAGGACGACGAACAGCAGGGGTATCTGTCCCGCGCGGCAGGGACGAGAGGGGAACGACGGCCTCGCGCGACGACGGGGGACAGAAAATACGACGACGACCGCGACCGACGACCACGCAGAGAAAAACGACGAATGGCGGCACCGAAAAGAAGAAAGGGCAAGGCGAAACAAGGACCAGGGCAACATCGGACCAGGGCAAATCCGAGATCTCTGAGACCCGTACCTGGCGGCTCTGGAACATGCATCAGGCGCAACAGCCGTTCCAGAAAGCTCCAGAACGCGCTGTCCCGGCCCTGGCCCCGTCCGAAAAAGCGACGGCCGGCGGCGCCGATCACGACGGACGACGGAGTGGGTGGGGAAACAATGTTTGATTCGCAGGTCGAGAGCGCACCTCTTCCGGTCGAAGCTAAGCGGGCCGCGCGAAGCTTGAATTAACCATGGGTGGGGAAACAAACAAGGCAGCGACGACTCGGCGACTCTGAAGGGTGTGGTTTGCCAAGGGTGCAGTTTGCAACTCGCTCCCTTGGGGGCGGGCGGGAACCTCGACAGAGTCCTCCGCCGCACCCCGGCGTAACCACACCCTTTTATAATCGCCGACCGACCAGCAACCACGTAGACAACGACGCGGACCGGCGGCCCCGAAGAGAAAAGCGACGATCGGCGGCCCACGACCGCGGCGACCAGGGTGGGCCGCGGTCGCGGTGTGCAGGGTGGGCGGTCGGGCGGTCTGCCCTTCAGTTTGAACGACCCCATGCCAGGCGGGGAACAACGGCAGCGACAACCGACGCCCACGAAGGGCAAGACGACGCCCCGCGGCGCCGAAACGACACGGCGACGACCAGCGGGCGGCGACCGGCGGCCCGGCCGGCGCCTCCGCCGCTGGCCCCGGCGCCCGGCTCCCAGCGCCCAGCGAGGCGGGAGGGCCTGGCGGCGCGCGCGCGCCGTGCACGGCTTGTCAGGGCCCCCCTACGCGGGGGCAGAGCTGAACGGGGGCGTGGGCCCTTTCCACATGCCCCGGTTTACGATGCTCCCGCCTGCGAAGCCCAAGGCGCCCTGAACAGGGGCATAGGGCCATCGTACTTCCAGGAGGCACACAGGCGAAGTGGCTTCTCTGGCCACTGCGGGCCTGGGCCACAAACGTGCTCCACGACATGCAATGAGGGAACAGCCGGCGAAGCACAGCCCCTCATGAGCCCGAGGTGGTCCTTCTACAGCCTGACTGTAAGGAGCCCAGCGTGGACAACGGCGTCCCCCGAGACCCGCGTGCCGTGACCCCGTCTCGGGCGCCCCGAGCCCGCCGCGCAGGGCGCGCACCAGACGGGGGACGGCCCTGCAGCCATTCCACGGTGGGTGAGCATGGCCACGCTCGAGGCACGGCCACAGAAGCACGCGGAGCAGTGGCCCCCTTCGCCGAAGGCCCGAGGCCCGCAGCACGGAGGGTACTCCAGGGTGGGGGGCCCAGGCACGAAGAGCACGAGGCTTCGGACCAGCTCTCATGGCTGATGACAGAAGAAGGCGAACGGCAAGAGCAGAAACTGTTGGCGCTCCGCGCGGACTTCTTGGATCTGCGCTGGACCCCCCTCCCTGGCGCGCGGAGTGTGCCCGGGGCGGCGCCGGAGGCGCCGCAGAGGGGGGCCCCTCCGCGGATCCAAGAAATCCGCGCGGAGCGCCAAAAGTTAATGTTTATGTCGTTTTTTCTTCTTCGAGATGAACCCGGGCCTCGCAAGGAGCGCACCAGAACGCCGGGGTACTCCGACAGCTGACAGGCAGAGGGGCGGCGACACCGAGACGCGCGCAGGTCGAGCCCAGGGCCGTCGTCGGGCCACCCGCAGGTCCGCTCTCGGCGGGGCTCGGGAGGGCGCTTTGCCTGTCTCGGGCCCGCCTCCTCTGCCTCGCACCAGCGCGCCGGGCAGCAATGCTTCTGCAGCAAGGAGGGCACTGGATAATTAGAGGGCAGAGAATCCACTCCCATCATGATCACCCTGACACGCGAGGCCGTTTAGTAAACACACACAGATGGAATCGAACAGGGCAGGGCTGTTTAGTAATTGCCCAGGGCCGTTTGGGAAACGCAAATTATCGGGTCAGGCTGTTTTTTTCTCCCTTGACTGGAGATCCAGCTGCACCGACCTTCGCAGCACGGGGCGGCTCTACACCACCACTGTCTCTAGCCGGGGCGATCCTGAGTCCCAGCACGGTGCGTACGCCCTCTGAGCTGAAAGGTCCATGCACGATCCTGCCCGCAGGGCCCAGGAGTGCCCAGGAGCGCCCTCGCCAGGCACGGTGGTGGTGCACACCTGCCTTCTGGCGGACGATCCTGCAAACCTTGCGGCAATATTGTATGAGGATGCCAGCTGCATACGAGGCCTTGTCATGGGAATCTGCAATCCGCCACTGTGCCGGAGGCACCTGGTGGTGGAGACTTCAACATTGATAAAAAGAAATATTACTAAGAACCTCGTGCCCCGTCTCACGGAATGTCTCGGGCGCTATCGCACGCGCAAGGGGTGCTCCGCGTGACTCTTCACAATGCCCAGGGCGCTTGGCCCGGACTCCATACCTCCAAGTCGCTCCAGGATGGTCACATGCCGTCCTGAGTCTTGGGATTATCTTGGGGGGTGCCGAAGAGGCCAACATCGTTGAACAAAAACACGCTTGCACGTGAAATTAGCTTTCTAGGCTTTGTGTGTTCAGAGCGTCCTAGACGGCCCAAGAGGCCCACGGGATCGCCCCAGGACTGTAAGCCACATAAGGGCGTCCCAAAGGCCAACAGAAGACGGGCCACGGAAGGTCGCCAGCAAAACAGAACACGCGATCAGACAAAGGAGCCTGCACCTCCAAGGACCCTCTGCCGTCGCTGCCGTCGTCGTCGGCGTCGCCTTCGTCGCCGCCCGCGCCGTCTCCGCTGCCGCCGCCGTCGTGTGAGGGGGTTGGAGGGGGGGGGCATCGCGCCAAAATCGGCAGATTGATCGGCGATAGGACCCCAATAGCGAATCCGAACGCTCCCGAGCGAGGAGGGCTATCGGGCCCCTACATCGGCGATCGATGGGAGATTGCGAGTCGATGCATCCCCAATGAACCTATTCCCAGCCCCCCCCAACCGTTGCCTCATGGTTTTCGGGACTCAGCTGGCCCGCAGCTTTTCGGGACAATCCGGGCACCCCCAGAAAGCCCTCGACGAGGCGCAGCTGATGGAAACCACGCTGTGCTTCGAAAAGTCAGAGAACTCCCGAACACAACCGAAAACTCCTGAGCGTACCCCACCCTGACGACTGTGGGTCACTGCGTCTTTCCCGCCCATCACCTTAACATCCATCGCCCTGACCACGCAGTCTCCGCCACCGCTGCCGTCGTGCTCACCGCCGTCGGCGTCGTCGACGCCGCCCGCGTCGCCGCTGCCGCGGGGGAACCACAGCCAGCCTGTGGTGCAAAGCGAAGGCGCCCTGCCCATGGGGCGCGCTGGGTGCGCTGGAGCGCCGCCAAGCGCCGGCGATCGCGAGGCCCGCCTGCGCGGGACGACCGACAACGACTCCAACGACGACGGCGGCTGCGGCGGCATCGACGACGACGACGACGACGACGTTGACAACAACTGCCCAGTATTGACGGCGGCGACAGCAAGCTGCCCACGCAGCCGTACGGTGGCGTCCACGTAGGCGACGACGGCGGCCGCGACGAGGTGAATGTTGACGACAGACCTGACAATGACGGACACACCGACGACGAAGACAACGGCGGCGACGAGAACTTTGATGACAGCCACGACGACGAGGGCCTTCGACAGCCCGCCTGCTCCTGGAGTGCTGAGGACACAATGAAGGGAAGTTTCGTCTTCAATAAGAACGACGCTAAACAATCACTCATCATTGGTCGATGCTTTCGAACATGGCCCAAAGAAAATAAACAGGGCTCCCAATATGACCCCAAGAGGGCCCCGACAGCCTCAGAAGCACCTCCAGAAGGCTCCAAAATGGCTCCAAGAGGCGTGCGACGTTGGCTCCTGCGTCGTCGCCATTATCCTCCTGCTCTTTTTCGTTATTAATGCCGTCGTCGCCCTTCATACTCCATCCTCTCGTTGTTGCTCTTCCTCCTCATCCCCCTCCCAACTCCCTGGGCTCCGCATTTCCACTCCTGGCTATCGTATGGCCGACTCCGAGTTTGGGCTTGACGGCTGACTCACCAGTCCATCCCACTGGATGCTCCCGCGCTTCTCCTGATCAGGGAATGGGCCGGCGACCATGTCTGGATGGCCTGGTGAGGATAACAACGCCACGCGTCAACATGTTCTAACTCTCTCTCTCTCTCTCTCTCTATGTATGTATGTGTGTATACATATGTCTATACGGATATGTATGTACGCATGCCTGTACAGCATGTATGTCTGCATGATTGCATGCATGTACGTACGCTTGTACATATGCACGCATGCATTGTGTATATATATATATATATATATGTGTGTGTGTATTGCATACAAGTGTAAAAGTGAAATTAGCCACACATATACACTAGAACCACGCGCGCGCTGAGGCACCGCCATGGACGGACCCTGCTCTCTGGTCGACCAGCTCTCTGGTCGACCAAAGAGCAGGGTCCGTCCCTGGCGGTCTTGAGGAAAGTCGGACCAGCTCTCTGGTCGATCCTCTTGGGCGCGCCCTGGGGCTCTCTTGGGCCGTTTTTTGGGGCCCATTGCGGGGCTGTTTCCGGGACTCTTTTGATGCAATTTCGGGTCTCTTGATGGCCTCTTGGTGCGTCTGGGGCGCTTCTCGAAGCCTCTTGGGGTCTCCTGGGAGCCTCTTGGGCCAAAACGCTCGAATCTTCGGTTCCTCGTCCCCGTCTTTGGCGCCTCGTGGGCCATCTTTAGCCCCTCATGGGCCATCTTGGAGCCCTCTTGGGGGCATCCTCGACCGGCTTGGGTGCCTCTTGGGCCGTCTTGGACGCAGTGGAGGTCCAAAAGGCGAATACGCCAAAAATGTCAGTTTGCCGATGGGAAACCGACGAGTTTTGCTTATCTGGGGCTCTATTAGGGTGCCCCCCTTGAAGCGTGTTCGATCCTCTTTTTGTTTTTTTGCGGGTCTCTTGGGAACCTCTTTGGGCTTCTTGGAAGCTTCTTGGAGCCTCTTGGGGTCTCCTGGGGGCCTCTTGGGCCAAATGGAGCGAATTTCCAGTTCCTCGTCCCCGTCTTGGGCGCCGACTTGGGGCGTTCTTGGGCGGTTTAGGCGTCTCATGGGCCGTCTCTGCCCTCGTGGGCCGTCTTGGAGCCCTTTTGGGGGCATCCTCGACCGTCTTGGGTGCCTCTTGGGCCGTCTTGGACGCAGTGGAGGCCCAACAGGCGAACGCGCCAAAAATGTCAGTTTGCCGATGGGAAATCGACGAGTTTTGCTTATCTGGGGCTCTATTGGGGTGCCTCTTGGAGCGTCTTCGGGGCCTCTTTGGTGTTTTTTCGGTTCTATGGGGGCCTCTTGGGGCTTCTTGGACGCTTCTTGGAGCCTCTGGGGTCTCCTGGGAGTCTCTTGGGCTAAAAGGCGCGAATTTCCAGGTCATCGTCCCCGTCTTGAGCGTCGCCTTGGGGCTTTCTTGGGCGGTTTTGGCGCCTCGTGGGCCGTCTTGGCCCCCTCGTGGGCCGTCTTGGGGGCATCCTCGACCGGCTGTGCCTCTTGGGCCGTCTTGGACACAGTGGCAGCCCAAAAGGCGAACACGACAAAAATACAAGTTTCCTTATAGTAAATCGATGATTTTTGCTTATTGGGGCTCTCTCGGGGTGCGTCTTGGGGTGGGGCGTCTTCGGGGCCTTCGGGGGCCTTTTTGGCGTCATGGGAGTCGTCTTGAAAGGCATCTGGAGCCATCGGAGCGCGTTTTCAAACGTTCCGAAACCATCTTCGGGCGATCTTGGACGGCCCCCGGCGCTCCGGCAGGCCCCCCGCCGGGCCCCACATGTGCAGTCGGGGTCCCCGCCCCCGGACCCCGACCCCGCCCCCCGGATATATGCATACTAGAACCACGCGCGCGCTTCGCGCGCGCTTAGGTTCTAGCTAGGATCGTCACCGTCGTCATCATGTACATCACCATCGCCATCATTCCCCCCGCCAGGGCTAATGTACATCGTTTCTGGATGCTTCTGGCCGGAATACGAAGGGAGTTTCTGTAGTCAGAGTCTCCGGCGGAAGTCGCGGGGCCCCTCAGGATACTTACGGATGCCTCTGATAGTACTTAAGAAATGATGGACCCGTCATTTTGTACCTGTGCCTTGATCAGTGGGACGGGCTTCGCACCGCCGCACATCACAAGACACGCTCGAGCGGATCCAGCCGTGGCGACGTCGGGGACTGCAGAAGGTCGCAAGGACACGGAATCTGAGAGAGAGAGAGAGAGAGAGAGAGAAAGAGAGAGAAAGAGAGGGAGAGAGAGACAGACAGACAGAGAGCGAAGGAGAGAGAGAGAGAGAGATGGAGTGAGAGAGAGAGAGAGAGAGACACAAAAAAAAAAAAGACAGAGCGAGAGAGAGAGAGAGAGGCAGAGAGAGGAAATGGAGAGGAGGCGAGCTTGAGTCAACGAAAGTCGCAGGGAAGGGGGCAAGGGGAAGAAGGCCAGAGAGCGCTGAAGGATACAAATACTGGAACCCTCTTGGGATTTTTTTGGGGGCCTCGTCCGGCCGCTCGCTGGGAGTTTGACGTAGCTTCTCGGGAGCCTCTGAACCTGTCGGGGGCCTCCTGGAAGCAGGTTCGAAGCATTTTGGAGCCGATTTGGGGCTTCTCGGGGCCTCCTTTGGGCCTCTTGGGGGTCTCCTGGGGCCTCTTGAGGGGCCTCCTCGGGGCCTCCTGGCGGCCTCTTGGGGCGGAAGGCTCGAGCTTGCGGTTCGTGGTCCCCCTCTGGGCCCCCTCTTGGGCCCGTCTTGGGGCCCTCTTGGGCCATCTTGGGCGCCTCTTGGGCCGTCTTGGGGCCCTCTTGGGCTGTCCTGGGGCCCTCTTGGAAGCTTCTTGGGCCGTCTTGGGGCGGTCTTGGGCGCCTCTTGGGCCGTCCTGTAACGTCGGAAAGCCCAAAAGGCAACTTTGTGAAAAATGTACGTTTTACGAAGGGAATGGGCCAATTTTTGCGTCTAGGGGCCCTCTTGGGACGCATGTTGGAGGCTTCTTGGGGCGTCTTGGGGGCGTCCTTGGACGTCTGGAGGCCATCTTCAGCATCTTGGAGCCCTCTTGGAAGTTTCTAGGGCCGTCTTGGGCGCTTCTTGGGCCGTCTTGTCTGACCGGGGAGGCGTCCGGCAAGCCCCGACGAGCCTCCGGGCCCCCCGGGGCCCACATTTGTGGTCGAGGTCCCGGCCCCGGGCCCCCGGACCCGGTGCGCCGTTATATGTATACACAAGGTTTGAAGGCTCGTTGCGCTTCGCCATCCAATGTTGACCATGGCACCCAGGAGCCCAGGTTGCATGGGTTGTTTTGTCGGCCTTCTGGAGAATGTTTGCATGAGGCACGCGATTGTGTGCGAGTATTGCGATAGGCGCGCGCCGCGTAGGGGTGGATCCGGGCTCACCCTGGCTCGCTCGGTTCGCCTATTGGAATTAAGGTCGAGGGTCGCTCGAATATGCCATGTTGCGCATGCTGTGCCATGCTATGCGACACAAATCTGCGACGGCATGATATGATGCCGCGCCAAGCTATGCTATAAACTTTACGCTACGTTCTGCTTTGCAACACGTTGCACTGCTATGGAAGGATATGATGTGTTGTCATGAATTGTGATGAGCAGTACCATGCCATGGTATGGTATGACGTGCTACGATACGCACTGCTGCACAACGCTGATATAATTTGACGTGGTATGCGCTGGCACGATTTGTTATGCCAGGATTGCTTGCGCTACGCAGTGGTATGCGGCGGCTTTCCAATGCAGTGCCATGACGTGATATACCATACTAGGATATGTTACGACACGGGATGCTGTTACAGGGGACGCATTGGTATGCAATGCTACGCCATGGTAGGCTATTCCAAGGTGTGCTGTTCCACGCTGTGCGACGAAGATGCATACCACGGAATGCTCGGCGGCGTTGTTCTACGCATTGTCACGATGTGCTACGATTTGCATTGGAAGAGATGGTTCAGAAACCTTTGGGGCCGTGGTGGGCTGTCGGGGCCCCGCAAAATTGCAAACCTGAACAGGATCAATGAATCCTGCCTTTCCAGGGTCCCTTGGGGAGTACTGGGGGCGTCTTCGGGGCGTATTGGGGGCATTGTGCGTCCTCTTGGGGCTCGTGGGCCATGATCCACGAACAACGCCCGTATTGAAAGAATCACGTCGCTGGATATCTGGTCACGTGAACACCTCCACCCTCCTCGCTCCCCCTCCAAGACGAAGCGTTCCGAACGTCAAGGCGGCCGTGGCGAAGGGGCGCGGTCGCCGCCTCGCACGCCGCGGCCTGGCCGACGAACTCGGTCGGCGCGGCAGACTGTCGCGTGGGTAGGAGGAGGTGCGGACAGGGGCAGAAGGCGATCTCGTGACCCCCTCCTCGTTCGTCTCCTCATCGTCGTCCTCCCCGTCCACCCACTCCTCCTCCTCCAGCAACAGCACCAGGAGCGGAGTCTGAATGTTGAGGCCCTAAACACCCGAAAGGAAATACAAAAACAAAGACCCATCGGCGAACAAATCGCTGACCAGCTGACGCATGGAAAGGAACATACTGAACAAAACAAACATGAACAGCCGACCCGTGGCATGGCCGCCGGCGACTCGAGTGCGAAGCGCGCCCTCGTCGTGGCTTCGTCACGGGCGACCCCGCGCTCGGACATGCAACTCCGTTGCACACTGAAGCCGTTGGCGTGTACGATAGCGGACACGAGCTCGCTGTGCATCCTCAAGCACTGGCGCGGCTTCTCATGCGAGCGGCGCGCCTGTTGCAGCTGCTGCACATGCGTCTGCTGCTCTTCCGCGAGCGATATAAACCCAACCCCTTTCGCGTTCATGGCCTCGAACTCCACGGCCTCCCAGCACAACTGAATAATGGCATAATGTTGGAACTTCCTTCTGCAACTTTGCGTCGAGCTCGTGGGTCTGGACGTCCATCGCGGCGTGCTTGGGCTCCTCCCCTTCTTTGAACCCCACCAGCCCCCCGGGCGTACGTGGTTTAACGAAGTGCGTGTTCTCTCTGCAGAAACCATGCCTGTCCCTGCTCGGGGGGGGGGGGCTTACCCGCATGTCAATCCCAACCGACTGGTCCCAATCCCAACCAACTGGTACCAATCCGAAACAGCGCGAAATCAAACTGGCCCGAATCTCACCCAATGGAAGATAAGCCCGCTAGAAGAAGCAGTATAGAAGGCGCCTCAACACAAATGCACAAACCTAGTGGCACGTCTTCTGTCGCCGCATGTACTCTGGAAGCCAACATACGTAGCATAGTTGGAATTGGCACCAGTTCGGACTTCGCATGAGCAAGATGGCCCGAAGAGGGTCGCAGAGAGCCCGCGGTGGCCTCCAAAATGGTTCAATATGCCCCGTGATTGCTCAAGATAGCCTCCGACAGGACACCCCAAAAGGCCTCAAGACGGCCCTCGAAAGGCTTCCACCGCAAGCCCTCCACGGACCCCCGGGAGAGGCTAAGAAATCAAAGGGGCGTCAGTGTCGTTTGCCTTCTCGCCTTTTCGCTTCCGATGGGCTCTAGAGGCCCTACGAAAGCCCCAAAACGGCCGAAGAGAGCCCCAAGGCGGGCCAAAGATGGCCCAGAAAGAGTCCCAAGAGCGCCCAAGAGCGCCCCCTTCGCGCCTCAAGACAGCCCCAAAACGCCACGCTTGAGCCTCTGATGGGGGGGGGGGGGGGGGGGGGGGAGCGCGCCCACAATTGCCTCAGGAGGCTTCCTAGACCCCCCAGAGAGCCCCAAGAAGGCACCTAAACACCGATGGAGCTCCAAGAGGGCCCCAAGAGAACCCCAAGAGGCCCCGAGATGACCTCACGAAAGAGCCAAGATGGCTCCAAGAGACCTCCGAGACAACACTCCCACGGCTATTCCACTGCATGCTTCTGCACTTCCCTGATCAAGGCAACTCGCGTGGCGGCCTGACTCTACATGATCTGGCGCGGAGACTTCTCGATCGCGACCGCAGGCGGGCGCCCGCGCGGCGTCGGGAGGGTCGAGCAGCCAGCGAAAAACGGAAACAGGGCGCAACTGTCGCCGGCTAGGCGCTGGAAAAGAAGGCCACAGGGTGACGAAAACGAACGGGCGACGCACAGCGGCAGAGCGGGGGGGGCGGGAGAGAACGAAGACAAAAGAAGAAGACGAAAGGCAACAAGACGAAAGCGGGAAGAGGAACGGAAGGGCCGCCGATCAGCAGGGGACCAACTAGAAGACCACCCTGACCTTGCTGTGTATCATGTACATGCCGCAAACAGAAAGCATGACTCCTCGCCGCCGATCAGAACAGCGGCAGCGAGCGTAAGCAACGCCGACGTGCCCTCGCAGGGGCCGAGTGACCAAGATGGTCTGAAGTGCAAGCGAAGCCGACTGGGCCAGGTGCTGGCGCTGGAAAGAAGCGCGACCGCAGACCGACGAACGCCCAGCGGCGGCTCGAGCAGAAGACCACCAGCGCCCGGAAGAAGGCTGAGAGGCAGCACCCCCGGCCGCCACCAATGCCATCGCAGACCCGACTGGGCGATGGGGGGCCGGCCGCTCCAGTCAGGCCAGCGACCGGCCCGCGGCCTGGGGGGCCAGCTAGCAGTCGCGAATGCAGGAAGGCGCGCCCGAGGTGGCCCGGCGCCCAGCGGGGGGGGGCCGGCGGCAGCAGGGCGAAGTGCGACGGCCCCGCCTGAGACGACCTGAACCGGGGCGCAGCTGACAGCCGCAGAACGTAGGAGGAATGCTTCGCCTGAGACCTGGGATCCTCTGGTAGGGTGCAACCAACAGCCGCAGAAGGTGGGCCATTCTTTCGCCTGAGACGTGCAGCGCGGGGGGCACTGGCCGCGCCTGCCACGGCGGTGGGGGCGCAGCTAACAGCCGCAGGATGCGGGGGGGCAGTTCCTCCTGAGCCAATGACGACGCCAAGTTGGGGCACAGCTAACAGCCGCAGGGCGAGGGCGGAATATTGCAACTGAGACACCCCGAAACATGGCCGGAGCGCAGCAGACAGCTGCATTGAGACGGGGGGGGCACCGCGATTGCATCGCCTGAGACGGGCAGGTTCTCTGGTGGGGTGCAGCCAGCCTCGGGAGGGTGGGGGGTGGTAATCTTCGCCCGAGACAAGTTTCGCCTGGGATGGGCCGACGTCCAGCGGGGTTAAGTTAGCCGCGGCAGGGCGAAGAGAGACGGCACCACCAGAGGCGCCCTGAGACGGGATCCAACTAACAGACGCAACGTAGGATGATTGCAGCGCCTGATGCAAAGGCCCTCTGGTAGGGTGCAGCAAACAGCCGCGGGAGGGGGGTAATTGTTTCGCCTGAGACGCGCAGCCCGGGGTGCACGGGCTGGCCCGCATAAAAAAAAGCAAGGGGCCCGGGGCGAGCTACCGGCCACGGGGCGCGGGGTAGCGGCCCCGCCTGATGCGCGCCGATGACCAGCATGGCGCATCATGCAGCCGCAGATGGGGGAAACGAAAACACCAGAGACATCCCGAAACACGATCGGAGCGCTGCTGACAGCCGCAGCGCGGCGGGGGATTGCTTCGCGATTGCTTCGCATGAAACGTCCCGTTTCTCTGGCGGGGCGCAGCTGACAGCCGCAGGAAAATGGGGAATGGTTATCTTCGGCTGAGACATACTGACACACTGCATGGGGGCAGCAAGCGGCGGGGTAGCCGAGTGCCGCAGACGGCTGCGAAACGGAAGAGGTGGCCAGAGGGACCGCCCAGCCCAACCCTCAGGGAGGGGAGGGGAACCACGGCCAGAACCACGCCGGCGCAGCATGCAGCCGCAGCGGCGCGAAGCGGGCGGTGGACACAATGGCCGAAGCAGACGACCGACGAGGCGGGGCCCCGAGGGCAGCCGACCAGAAGGAGGATAGGACGGCGACCAAGGAGATAATGGGAGCAACAAGGAGCAGGAGAGGGCGCAGTGAACCCAGAGGGCCCGCCGGGGGAGGTATGCGCACCAGGGCGCGGGGAGGGCGCGGCGCGGAAGGACCGCCCCGTGGCGGCCAAGCTCTCCTGGGGAGCGGAGTGACGCAGCGAGGTGGCGAGGCTGCGGGGAGCTGCAAAGTGGCTGCCGCGAGGGCACTAGCAGTGGCAGGGGCCAACTAGGGGCCAAATCTCCAGGCCGCCTATAGCGAGACGGGGGAGGCGGCAATCATCCAGGGGGGGGGGGGGCGCGCAGAGTTCCCCAGCGAGGGGGCCCAGCGCCTGGGGCGGGCCGAAAGCCCCAGCCTGGCGCGTCCAGGGTGGCATTGACACGCCAGAACGTGCGCGCAGTAGCAGGCCGCCGCCGTGACCCCGAGGGTCGAGTCACGCAGGAACCAGATAGCGACGGCGCGGTCTGTCGGGCCTAGGAGGGCGCCCTGGGCGAACGGGTGCCCAGGTTGCCCCCGGGGCCCGCTGCCCGGCTTCGCCCGGCGTCGCCCCCTCCGCGCAAACCTTTGCCTTAAACTTTGCCGGGGCTGTCCGCGAGCTTGGCCCCGTCGCGAACGCGCGCGCATCGCCCCCCGCCAGGCCCCTAGTTGAAGTTCGGTGTTCATGGATAAGACGTCGCACATGAAGCGGGCCCGCTCGTTGGAAACGAACAGGCAGGACTCTGGCTGTCGGGGCGCAGGGTCGGCGCAGACCCTGCCAGATTGCGCGGGGCACTCGGTCGTCCACTGGTGCCCATGGCCAGTAAAGTAATAGCCCAGCCCCCTCTGGAGCCTTTCCGACGTGGCTGCGGAGGACAGACCTTTTGAGGGGGGCGCTGTAGACGCACTGGTTAGTCACGGGGTCGCGAAGATCACGTGGGCCTTCGCCCTGAAAGCTCCAGGAAACGCGGCGCCCAGGTGCTGCGCCAGCCTGGGCGTTGGCGCACGAGGGCCAAGGAGCGGACCGCGGTCGCGATCGGTGGCGCGTGCTGGCGCTGGCCGGCCCCAGCGCTCCTCAATTTCCCAGCTGGGCCACTCTGTCCACGCTGCCCGATGGCAGCTGCGAGGGCCGCTGCAGCTGGTCTCTCCGCGACGGCGCGGGCGGCGCTCGCACCGTTCCGGCCCCGGCTCCGCCCGTCTCTCGCGCCAACTGCCGGGCGGGCCCTAGGTGCGCTGGGGGGCCGCGGGGCGCTCCGCTCAGGCAGGCTCGCGAGGTTCCTGTCATCCCGCCCGGCGAGTCGAGCGCGGGGGGCGCGCGAGACGGCGGCAGACGACCTGGGGGCGCGCGGCTTGTCTTCGTGCACAGAGCTACCCGAGGAGCGGGTGGCCCCCGCTTGCTCAGAACTCGGTGACGGAGAGAGGGCAACTGGGGCCCCTTTCCGCCCCCTCGGCGCAGCGGGCGGGTGGCTGCGGGGGGCAGCGCCGGGGTCCACGGGGCCCTCCTCCAAGCGCCCTGCGGCGTCAATGATGCTCGAGCCAGGAGGGGGGCCCCCTGGGGCCGGGGGCTGGGCATGGGGGGCGGCCAGACAGGTGCTCGCAATCCGCCCGCTGGCGCCGCCAAGGGGATGCAAAATGGCCCGGCGGTGCTACAGCGAGCGCCGACCGGTTGGAAGTCAGCGGGGGGGCCGGCAGCCGCAGGTGGGCGCCCATCCGGGTCGGCCCGCCCTTTCCGTTGAGCTTCCTGTCGGAGGAGGAGCAAATCTGTCTGCACAACTCCTGGGTGTCACGCAAAGGGGCCTTCCGGGCAAGCTGCTGCAGTGCCCCAGCGGCGAGCTCGCCTGACCTGACCTACGCCAGGAAGGCGACGAGGGCGCCCAGAGCGCGCCGCAGGGGTGATGGGCCGCGCGGGGGCCACTTGCTGGAGTACCGGAGCCAGCTGCCCAGCATGGTGGGATTCGGGGCTCGCAGGGAGCACGCAGAGCTTCGCGACCGCCCGGGCGGCGGCCAGCCGCTTGCCCTGCCGGCGGGTGTTCTTGGGGGGCAGGTGGGTGCCACCCGTTCGCCATGGATCATCTTCAGACAAGGGCGGAGCTGAAGTGGCCCCCAGCTTCCGGGGTCGTCGGAATGCACCGCGCCCTTCCCCTCCAAGATAGCGTGGCCCCTCCATCGGGCGCCCGAGTGTGGGTGCAGGTCGCGCATGAACTCGAATATCCGAACCTCGATGGGCCTAGTGTCCGGGTCGCCCATTCCCTCCTCCTTCGCAGCTTCCAGGAAGTTGAAGTCAATGTTCTTCAGTGAAGGCCCTTGGGGCAGGCGGGCTTCGGGCTGCAGGCGGAGCACCTCGTCGGTCTCGCTGGGCGTGAGAGGGTGGACGTCTGGCTCGAGGGCAGACCTGCCAGGGGCGCCCTCGCTGGCACTCAGTGGATCGGACATGGCGCCGGGGGCCCGGTTGGGGACGAGCTCGCCAGGTAGGGGGTGATCGCCAGGGCGGGCGGCGCGGCCCGCGGCTTCTCGTCGGGGGCATGGGGGTTGATGAGGTGCAAGCCCATGTCGAATAGCTGGTCGAGCGAGCTGGGCTTGACGCCCCATGCGCGTACGAGGCATGAACGGCGCATCCAGGCGGCGTTCCAGTAGCGGCTAGTCCAGGCCACGGACCGATCCGCCCAAGCCAGGTGGCCACCCGCCTCAGCTGACCCGAGCCCGGCGTCAGCCTTCCATGCGAAGCATCCAAGCGCGAGCGCGCCTGCTTCCCAGGACAGTGGGGGGGCACTGGGGGGGCAGCTGTCGCACGCAGTCGTGAAGCGCTTGGTCTCGGTGGCGGAATATCCGAACCTGTCGTCATCAATCCGGGTGGGCGGGGTGGTGGCGCTGGCGTTCTTTGGGGCGTGGAGGCCCACCGGGGCCAGCAGGAAGTCGCTCAGGTTGCCAGCGGCTGTTGCGGCGGGGAGCGCCGAGACCGTGAGCCGGGAGGCAGTGGGGGGAAACTCGTGCACGGGCGAGAGCCGGGGGTGGGTTCCTGGCCAGGGCGACCGTCTGGACGCAGTCGTTGCAGGAGCAGTCCGCGGGCACCATGTGCCCGTCCCTCTCCGCAGCCGCCGTCCAACGCGAGGCGCAGAGCCACGCATGCGGAGTCCAGCCCGTTCGCATGCGCCTGGAGGCGGTCAGTCGCAAGATGCGTCCTTATATCGTCGTTCCACCAAGTGCCCTCGAAGTGCTGGTGATGGGCGTCGTAGCAAGCGTCGCATCTGCACCTGGCCGCCTTCCGATCCGTGCTGAAGCGAGTGTCGCCTGGTGCATGGTAGGGTGGGATCTTGCATGCGCTGTGGAGCGGAGCTGGTGGTAGGGCTCTGTCGATAGGGGTGAGGCCAGAAGAGAATCCCCCGCAGAGGAAGGTAATCTCGGAGGGGCAGTCCTTTGGCCTAGGGGCGCACTCCTTGCCTGTGCACTCGTGGTGAAAGACCAGATGCTGCACTCGGTGTGCGAGAGGGTACTGATGTTCAGGCTTCACGATCCTTTCCAGGACCAGCATCGGGGCCTTGGGCTTGAAGGTGAAGGACTCCATGCCTTGAGGGTGGTCGGGCAGCCGGCGTCCTTGGCGGGTGGATGGTGGTGGGCGGTGGTGACCACCTTGGCCACGGTGTCAATCAACTTCTCCAACTTCCCGTGTAGCTGGCGTGCGTCGGACAATTGAAGCCCCCATAAAGAGACGAACTGCATCCAGAGTGGTGGTGACCGTCCTGCCACGGGCAGCAAACCCCAATAATGGACTCCTGTTGGGGGGTTGCGAAGCGTCACGGATTTTTGTTTGCGGCCTCGCGAGCTTGACCGGGACTCCCTCCTGGTCCTGGATGCCGCTCACGAGGCCGACTGGCGCTGCATCGACCCACTTCAATTTCTCCTCCAGGATGCTGACCGTGTTGCCAGCGGTGCGGTCGCAACACATCAGAATGCTTGCCGCCAGCTTGTCGCCCATCTTCTTCTCGCGCGCAGTGTTGCAACCGCTGGCGAATGATCTCCGGATGCCGCGAAGCAGCTGGACATCAAGGAGGCTCCTGCTGTTTGGTCGTCGTACTGAGAATGATGGTCCGTGCACCACTCTCTTCCGTGGATTTGGCTTCGGTATGTTTCCACGCCGTCGCGGCATTAGCACTCCGAGCAGCCAAACCCAAAGCCTCGCGCAGCTTAAGCACCAAAAGCCATAACCCCCAAGATGCAAAATTAGCCGTGGTTGTGTCCAACGCTCGCAAATCACGTAGCACATGGCAAGGTAGCCTCACAGCTGCAACCCGCTGGGCCTGAAAGCCCTTGCTGATAATAGCCGTCCCAAGCAACTCAGAAGCCCCCAAGGCTGCGAGTTGCATGCCTGCAACTAGGCGTGCAACTTCTTCGTGTGCTGGTGCGCCAGCGACCTGCTTGTCAGAGACGAAGCGCAAGCCAATACAAGCAAATACCAATGACGCTGCCGCATGCGCACCGCGGCAGTGGACGAGACAGTCACCATGTCGCAGCACATAGCCGCTTGAGCCGCTTGAGCCGCAATGGCTACGGACCTTTTCCTATCCTTCCTCCTTCTCTTCCGCCTCCTCCTCCTCCTCCGCCTCCTCCTCCTCCTACGCCTCCTCCTCCGTTGCCTTCCTCTTCTTCCTCATCATTCTCCACCTCCACTTCCTCCTCCTCTTCCTCCCGAATGGGCCAGAACAGATGGACTCGGAGGAGCGCGCCGCTTCGCCGATGACGTCACGCTCCCAACGATGTCGTCATCGACGAGGCCGCCGTCATTGTCTTGATCGTACCTTCTCCCTCCTCAACCTCCCTGAATGTGTCATTCCTCGTTCCTCGAATCGCTGTCACTATTCATACCCGCACGGACCAGTTAGCTACTGCTAACTCTGTCTGCCAGCCCTCGCAATGATCCTACCACTGCGACGTCTAACAGTGCTGTTGCTGACGGATGTCCGTACTACTACCACTACTTCCCCTCCTTGCCAGATTCCCGCCCCCTTCCAAATATTGTCTCATCACATTCGTTGTCTTCGCTCCAAATAGCAGGCCTCGGTAGACGCATCAGGGTCCACGTCCCAGTGCTGCATGATCCTGGACGCAGGGCGGGCTCCTTCCTCATTCTTCCATTCTAGTATCGTCACGGTTCTTCCCCTTAACCATCGTCACTAGCTGTGAATCGCCGCCCCCATCGACCCCCCACCCGAACCCACTCACGCATACACGGTCGCGTGCTCGTTCCTCTCCCACACTACCATCCCCACCTTGTGTCACACTGTACCAGCCACACACAAACACTTCATTGCCCAATCAGCGACGCAGGTTCGCGTTGGCACCGCGCACGCACAAGCACAATGTTCCTCCTCTGGCGAAGTGACGTCTCTGTCGCAAAACCTTGCATGTGCCACATACAAGCTGGTTTCCCCAATGTGGATGGAAGGCCAGCGGTGAGCCCAGCCCGCCTGCAGATTGGGTTGAGCACGCGGGTGGACGAGGCGCACTCGCAATGGATCGCGCGATTGCAAGCGGCAAAAGGTCGGGCAGATGACGCCAGGTCGCAGGGGGACATAAACCTGCGTGAGCGGCCGAAGGCACCGCGAGGACGCGGTGCTGACCCAGGGGCCGACGAACGTCCTCACACACACGCAAACACACACACACACATCCTCACACGCACACGCACACACACACACGCACACACACACACACACACGCGAGTCGAAACTTTATCCTGTCCGGGCCAAACAGCTGACATCGTGGGGTCGACTCTGGAACATACGCGGCAGCAGAAGGACGCAACACGAATCGCGCAAGACAGTGGCTGTTCGCGCCTTGACGCCTTGCTGGTTAGACCTGGAAGTTGAACTTCCGTTGGGGTGCGGCGCGGCCGTGTTGTTCGCCGCATCGCCGGAATCGAGCTCATGGAGTCGTTTCTTGGAGGTCGCGTCCCCACCATGCACCAGTCCTGGCCCGCGCGTCAACGAGCACAGTGCCAATTTTTCGGATGAGGATGTCCACAACACGTGCGTTTCTTCCGTTGCCATGTCGCCTGAAGCGGGCCCCGCGCGCACGCAAACGCCATCCATTCTCGAAGTGGGGGCGCGCGCCGATCCCATTGTCCAGGGAGCGCGCGATCGTCTGAACTGGGAAACGGAGGCACAAAAAGAGGGAAACGGAAAAAGGAAGGGAATCGGAGGGGGGTTGTCAGGACCTTTCGGCCGGTGCCGCCGACCCTCAAAGGAGACGACGGCGATGACGACGTCGACGACGACGACAACGGCGGCGGCGACGACGACGACGCTGACGTGGGTCAGAGTCCTCAAGGATGTTTCTTGGGGCCTCTCCGGAAGGCTCTCGGGGGCGTGTGTGGAGTAGTCCCACCCGCCCTCTGGGCGTATGTAGGTGGCCCGGCGATATGTGTTGTTCCCTCTTCCCAAACCCCTCTTCCCCCCGGGGAACGGTACCATCCCCCTCCCCTCCCAGGGGTCTGGGCGGGGGGGTCGCGAGTCATCAGAAGAACTTTTGTCGCTCAAAATGGCTCCGGCACGGAATCCGTTGCTCCAAGATGGTTTCCAACAGGGCTCCAGATAGCGCAAGATCCCTCAATATTATCTCCACAATGGCTCCAAGACGCCGCAAGTGGGCTTCAAAACGGTTCTGGTGCCAAGACCCCACAGGACCTCCCCGAGAAGACAAAATCCTTCAAACACCGGAGGAAAATCAACGAGTGTTGCTTTTTCGCCCGTTCGCTTCCGAGTGTTGAGTGTTGGTTTTTGGGGCGTCAAGGAGGCCCCAAGATGGCCAAATAAAGCTTCAAGAGGGGCCCAAGATGCCCCCAATGCGGCCCCAAGACCGCAAAAAAAACGCCCCGATAAGGGGGCCAACAGCGTCCCAATAACGCTAGCACCGCGGCAGCACCAAGAGACCTTCCAGGCCCCCAAAAGAGCCCCAAGAGAGCTCCAAGAGGCCCCCCAAAGGGCCCCAATAACTCCCCTCACCTTGCTTCCAGCGATCTCTCTGTTCACCCTGGTGGCTCGCGCTGTTTCACTAGATGTGTGTTTTTGCACCTCTTCCCGTCTCCGAAATGGATGGTGGGGATAATTATTTGATCGCGACCGCACCGAAAGCAGTCGGGCGGCGCCCATGGGCGCAACGAACTAGCGGCGGCATACATCACGCGCGATTGGCAAGGGAAGGACAAGACAAGAGGAGGGGACGCCGGGGGGGGGAACAAACAGGACGCGGGCCTCGCCGTCGCTCAGAAGAGGGCGCCATCGACCGGGAAGAAGTTCCAGGCGAGCTGCATCGCCAAAATGACAATGATTCAAATTGAACGACACCTCGAACGTGCAGAGGGTGGATACCACCGGCAAAACCCACCACGCACTGCAGCGCCAGGACCAATGGTACCGCTGATGCAAATGGTGGCCGTGTCGCACGACCCGGCTGGCAACGACAAGCGCCATGCGGGCGCTCAACGGACCGGAGTCCGGATCACCAGACACCGTCAGGGACAGGTGTCGAGACTGCATGCCAGCTGGGTGGGTGCAGGCGGGCGCACGCGCACCGTAGGCATGTGGACCCTGTTTGGGGACCGTCGGGGAGGAACCCGCACGGAAGGGGGTGACCGAGAGGCTAGCCGACCCCAGGCCGGGGAGGGGTGCCGCGGGCCACGGGCCGTAGGCCGAGGCGGAGAGGCATCAGAGGGCTGGCGGGCAACCGAGTGGGCCGGTTCGCGCCAGCCGTGCGGCAAGGGGGAGCCCGAGCGGCGCCTTGAGCCGGGCAAGGGCCGCTGGGCGGGGCGCCGTGGGGGAGCAGGCCACGGCAATGAAACGCCTCGGACGCCCCAGAGACCCCGAGTCAGAGACGGGGGCAGAGCGCCGAGGGGGGCCCCGGGCGACCCACGCTGGGCGAGGGGCAAGGGGGGTGGCCCGGCGCCAGGGGGCGAGGAGCCACAAACGACCCACTGACAGGGGCGCACTGGGAGGCCGGGCGCGAGCCGCTAGCCCCAGCTGGGCACGCGCCTGGCGGTATTGGGCACGAGGCCTGGGCGGCCGCCCAGGCCTTTCTCTGGAGGGGCCGAAAGTAGGGCGGGACAGGAACCCGGCAGGCAAAGGGGGGAAAGAGCCCGAGGGCGGGCCTCTCAGCCGCAGGGAGCTGGCAAGAACGCCGGCGCCCGCAGGGAGGAGTCGCGCAAAAGGCGGACGAGGGGGCGACGAACGGTCGCATATATGGGTAAGGAGTGGCAGAAGCGGCGGAAGCGAGGTGGCGTCGCGGCCAACGGCCGCATGAAATGGGGTGACTGCGAGGGAGGAGCGAGGGCCCCGGAGGGGCGCCAAGGGGGCCCGAGGGAAGGTAGCGCACCCAGGGGGGGTATGCGACAGTGCAGCAGAAGTGCGGCTCTCAGCCGTGAGTAGCACCGTGCGAGGGAGGCAGACCCTCAAACCCGGAAGCGCGGGAAAGGGCGGGAGCGGGGGCTGCGTTTGTGCACCCTGGCCTCTGGAAGGCCGGGGGGATAAGGCAGCTAGGGCGCACGTCCTGGGGTGGTTGTCGAACACACCCGCTTGCGGATAGGTCTGGTGTGCTGAGGAAACCTTGGGCGTGAAGCAATGGTGGGGCGCCGAACCGGTGGTGGGGATAATTTCTTTTGGTCGGCGGCTCCTTGGCGAAGGTCGAGAAGCGGGGCAACGTTCGGGGCGCGGAACGAAGATAATTGGCCGCAGTGGCGTATGCACATGCAAAGGACAAAATGACCCACATGGGTGATGGGGATACGCGAAGAGTGAAGACTTGATGGGGCCTTTTAAGATCATCTGGAAACCTCTTGGGAGCCTCTTGGTTTGGGCTGTCAAGAAATCCTCTTGGGCGGCTGTCGCGGGACCCTCTGGGAGGCTTCTCTTGGACCGTCTTGGGGCGATGTTGGGGGCCTCTTAGGCCGTCTTCGAGCGGCGGGAAGCGGAGAAGGCGAGAACACCCAAATGCTTCAAAAACTGAAGGGGCATCAACAAGTTGTGTTTCTTGGGGCTCTCTCAGGAAGTGTTCTTGAAGTCCTATTAACACATGTTAAATGTCTCCTGGGCAACCTGGAGGGCGTGAAAACGTTTGGGGCCGATCGTTTGGCGATTGGGGGCCCTCTGAGACCGTGTCGGGGACCTCTTGGGCCATTCTTGGCTTGGCTTGCTTGGTACTAATTGCGGCCCCAGGACCCCCAGGCGGGGATGCGTATCTGACAGGGGGCCCGCCCCCTGTGAGATGCGAGTGTGACCCAGGACCCCCCTGACCCCAAACGGGGAGGGATCAAAGGGAAGGGGCTTCCCTTCGATTCGATTACCACATTGCTGTCCTTTTCTCTCGCTGACACCTGAGGAGGAGGGCAGGGAAAGGGCACGACGGAGACGACGACTGACGGAGGCGACAACGCCAACGGATAGACCCCTCACACTTGTTACGTCGGCGGCTAGGCAGAGTCACTGCGCTGGCGAGGAGGCGAAACGGGGCTGCCGTTAACCATGCAAGGAGGGGAGCAGAAGACGACGAAGCGACGGCCGAAAGGAGGAAGCGGGCTGGGGCCGCTCAGGGGTACAGGTCGTTCCCAGGGGCGCGTGGCGCGCGTCACCGCTCTGGGCTGGAAAAGAGTCAGTTTCCTACGCAGACCCCTCACACACACACACACACACACACACACACACACACACACACACACACACACACACACACACACACACGCCGACAGGGTCGGCGGATTCTGAGGGGAGGGCAAATGAGCAGGAAGAGTTGGAGGAGGGGAAAGAAACAGGCCCCGCCAGGCGACGGGCACAACGGACGGCTCGGAACCCGCCCCGCCACGCGCAGGCCCGTGGGCACCAGGGCCCCGTGTCTTCCCGCGCCCCGCCGACCCCTCCCCGTCGTCGCTCAAGTCCGGGGACCTCGAGGTGGAGCGGGGGGGGGGAGAAAGGAGGAGGACATCAGTGTCACGTTTGAAGGTGCTTGGTGGGCGAACTTAGCAGTGCATTGGGGCCATTGTTCTCGCGCCTCGAGATGCCGGCGACGTGATCGCGCGAGTCAAAGGTCGCAGGTGGGCGCCGTGCCTGGAGGCGCTGCAGGCTGCAGAATATCATGCCATGGTGGTTGCTGTTCACAGGCTGTTCACAGGGCGACGAATCCCTTCCTTCTGTATCCGACTGCCGGGGGCGCGCGGCTTCCTCTCGCCTGCCGTGGCCCGAACAAGCTTCAGGCACGCGCGTGCACAGCGGAATGGCCCAGTTTCTGCGAGAACATTGGTCGAAGGTGCAGCTGGAAAGGGTCAAGCCTCATCTCGGCATCCAGGCTGCTACCGACGGCCACGATCTGTTTTTGCGGCAAGGCAATGATTGGGCCGATCGGACGGCTAAACAGGCGGTATCCTTTCATCCTGTCACGTCGGTGTCTGAGCTCGAGGGTCTCGACCGCGCCTGCGCTGTAGCTAGGGCCGCGAGGCGTCTTGGGGCGCAATTGACTGCGCTGTGGCCCCGTTTGTCCTGGGGCCCTAACGCGTCCCTCCCCCTCCAGTGGCCAAGCAACTGGCCGAGAGAATTGTGCGTCAGTGGAGTTGGGTGGGCAGCTTTTGGCAATCTGCTGCGTGCCTATACAAAAGAAGCGGGGACAGTCTTCGGTCGAGCCTCCTGGGGGGCGGTGCTCTGCCGTGCTGAAGGCGTGCCCGACCAGGCTTCGAGAGCTCAGTCATCGCTGCGTGCTGCTCGACTGCTCAGACGGCTCCTTTTCGCGCATTTGCCACTCGTGCGGTTGGAATGACGCCGGGGGGACAGATGCGCAACCTCGTCAAGAAGTGCGAACAATCCACTGGTAAATTGAAGAAGGGGCCCCATCCGCGGAAGGTAGGAGTCACTGTCGACTTGAACGCGTTTTGCCATTTCTGAAGCGCTGTCTCGTTAGCACAGCGCGTGACGCGCCTCGCTGCCAATGAGCGCGGCCATCTGCGAGGTCTCCAACCGAGGCGGCGAGGCCTTACTGTCGTAGCAGTCCAGCGGCCCCGTGTGTTGCGCTGGCTCCTGGCGTCGGCGCCGCCGTTCCTGCTAGATGCGAAAATGGCTGGTCCTGCAGGGGTCGGCCAAGCCGCATTGCGGAGCCGTGCGGGCGCCGGGCCGTTCGAACCGGGGGTCGGAACGCGCGTGGGTGCGCCCATAGCTGGCTCAGTGAGAGCAGCTGGCGAAGGTGGCCCCCCAAAGCGGCGATCGCCGAGGCGAGGCGGTGCTATAGTGCTCCCACAATGGCAAGGTCTCCCTGCCGTTCTCTCTGGCGGTCTGCAGCTGCTTCTGGCTTTTGTTTTTGGCCGTCTGGTCTATCCCAAGCTGGCCTGGCTCCTGGCGTCGGCGCTGCCGTTCCTGCAGGCTGCGAATCTGGCTGGTCCTCCGGGGATCGGCCGGCCAGCCTTGCGGAGCCGCGCGGACGCCGCGCCGTCCGAGCCGAGGATCGAAACGCGCAGGGGGCCGCCAATAGCTGGCTCAGCGCAAACAACTGGCGAAGGTGGCCCCCCAAAGCGGCGGCCGCCGAGGGGTGGCGGTGCGTTGGTGTTCGCAGGGTGGCTGGGCATCCCTGGCCCTCTGCTAGCAGTCTGCCGTTGCTTCTGGCTTTTGTTTTTCTGGCCGCCTGGGCTCGCCCTGTCGTACCTTCTTTCCGTGCCTGCAAGCTGCGAAGAGAGCGGAGGGACTGTGCTGACTCCCTCATTGGGCCTCGCCCACCCTTTGAGGTGCACATGGGCTGCACCCTGGCGGATGCAAAAAACAAAGCTCCCCCTTGTCTTGTGTTTCTGATGTGCTGCACCGCGCGTCACGTAGTTCCCATGGGCCTAGAGGCGTGCAGAAGCATGAGTAGGCTAGCTCCTGTGCAAAAGGTCCTCCCTGTCACTCCTGGCCGCGGGTGACAAAAGCCTCGGGTCACCCGAAGCACGGGTGTTGGCCCCGATGAACAGTCGCACATCTGGCGCCGATGTTCGTGTCATGTTCGTTGAGAGTAATGTTTCCCGCCTGCATCTGGCGCCGAGCTTCGTTGCTACATGTTCGTTGCGTCATAGGTCATAGGCTTCGTCCTAAACGCGATGGAGTGCACCTTGCGCGGCCGTCTGTCTCAACATCCACTGGGGGCTAGCGGCAATGCCGCCTCCTAAAGATGAGGTTGCTGACTCCTGGCTGCGGATAGCCCGCGAAGGCGAGGCAGCATGCTCGTGCGTTTGTCTTGTCGACGCGCCGTTCGGCGCATGTCTTCTGGACTGGTCTGGGGCCCTCTGGGGCTTCCTCGGCCGTCTTGCGGCAATCTTGCAGGCATCTGGAACCTTCTTGGAGTGTCGGAAACTTGAGACGTCGAGAACGCTAGAGTCCATCAACACACGTCACATTTGTTTGCCTCTAGGGTCTATATGTGGGGTCCTCTTGGAATTCTCGTGGCCCGTGTTGAGGGCATCTTGGGCATCTTGGGCCCACTTGGGAAGCCTCTGGCAGCCCGCGGAGGCCCAAGCGCAGAACGAACCCATAGGCACAAACCCCGCATCCTCAAGCCTGGCTCCCCCATCCTCGTCGCGGGCGGGAAGACAGCCGAGAGCCACCGCGGGCCGCCGCGGGCCGCCGCGGGCAGCCGCAGGCAGCCGCAGGGTCGCGTCCTCACGCGGCCGTCCGCTCGTACCTCGCCCTGCAGGACGAAAAAGGCGCGGCCCGGGGCTCCCGCGGCACCGCCCGCGGGCCAGGCGGAATAGCCTTGAGCGGGCCGCCGCCACCGCCGCCGTCGTCAGCGATGGCGTCCTCGTTGTCGTCGTCGTTCTCGTCGCGCACGTCGTGGTGCTGGTGGCGGCCGTCGTCGTCGTCCTCGTAGTCGCCGTCTGTCTGGTCGTGGTTGTGGTCGTGGTCTAGCGGTCGTAGTGAGGAGTGGCGAGGACCAAGGCATTTGGGTGCTGATGAAAATGGGCTCTTGCACTGGAGACCTTCGGAGATCCTAGGCCTCCGACGTCGTGATGTGTTCAATCCTGGCGCTCGTTTCACATCAATTCTGGCTGTTACCGCCGCTTCCGGACCCTGAAAGACGATCCTGGAAAGAAAACTGGTCCTGGCGAATGGATCAGCACAGCACTTCCAACGACTCGATTGTCTCGAATCGCCAACACCTGGAGCTCTCGATCTCTTCCCTGTGGCCCCGCTTTGCCTTCTGGCTATAATGTTTCACAGCCCGTGGACGTCGAGCGTGTAGGAAAAAACGTCTGACTCTAAACCGACAAAGGTATGAACACAACACTGCATAAATAAACCCAACACGTTCGCAGGTCCGCGCGAATTCCTTGCATTCATGCTGGATCCCGCTGACCGACACGCGGAGCGGGCCAGGGGCGGAGGCGCGCGGCGGGGAGCGCCCAGCGCCGAAGCAAAAAATCCGCCCTGATGCCAGAAAAATTGTGCTTATGCCAGCCTGACTACCTACCAGACCATCCAAACCTAACCCGAAAACCCGAATTCCGGGTTGGGGGTGGGATAGGTTCAACATGTGTTTTTGTTCAATGCTTCCCGACCCACTGAGAATGGAGGGCAAATTAGGGCCATCGGGCTGGGTTGGGGTGGTCTGCTGGGTGGCGATGTCCTCTTCGATGTGCGCACCAGCGTCGGGGTTCTGCAGCCGCCGCCAATGTGAACCGAACGCCAACTGCCGCTGCTGCCAACTGCCGCTGCTGCCGTAGACAAGCGCGTTCCGCTACTCGCAAACTCACTACTCGCAAATGGCTTGGATCCGCCACGGGAGATTTACGATCAATTGCGTCGATGCAGACCTGTGTTTTCTCTGACGTTTGCGAGTAGGCACTTTGCGAGTAGTGGAACACGCTCGGCGATGCAAACTGCCGCTGCCGCTCCACAGCTCGTCGCCGTGTCGCCGCTGCCACTCTTGCTCACGCCTGCTGCTGCTGCTGCTGCTGCTGCTGCGGCAGGCTCGCGCCGTGACGGGCCGCGAGCTGGCCTCCTGACGCCGCGTGGATCACTCCGCCCTGAGCGATCGCGGCTGTCGGACACCGCCGATCGCTCGATGGGCGGCCGCTTCGCGCCGTTACGAACCGCGCGCTGGCCTCTGTTACCGTGTGGATCGCGCAGCCTCGAGCGATCCAGGCTTTCGGACAGCACCGATTGGGCAGGCTTCGGGTTGCGCACAGACAGCCCCGTCAAGTGATCCACGCTGGCCTCAAGAGGCCCCTCGAGTGGCTGTTCAGGGCGGTCTCACCACCCAGGCGCCGCCTCCGGCGGCGCCTCTGGGCACTCCGCGCCTCAGAGCTATGATGCCGAGACCGCCACGGGTTTCTCGCGGGGTCAGCTTAGGCCAGCCAGGACTATATACATATATATATATATATAGATATATACATACATATGTATATATAGGATATAGGTATATGAATATAAATATCTGGGGGCTGTCCGTGCGCAGACCGAAGACTTACCAAAAGCCGATCGCTCGATGGGTGGCCGACTCCGGGTCACTGGCAACGTTCAACCTGGGATGCCCGCACGGGGGTCGCCGCCGCGTCGGCACGCCACACGCCTACCGTCCTCCACCTCTCCCTCCCTCCCCCGTCCAACCTCCCCCTGCCCCTCCTCCGCATCCCTCCCATCGTCCTCCTCGACATGCCATGAGTAACGTCATACGGTCAAACAGAGCAATAAGGGGTATAGAACCCAGGGGGGGTAGCCTACCCTAGGCCCTACCCAAGGGCCTAGGGTAGCCTAGGGTAGGCCCTACCCAAGGCCCTAGGGTAGTCTACCCTAGGCCCTACCCAAGGCCCTAGGGTGGCCTAGGGTAGGCCTTACCCAAGGCCCTAGGGTAGACCTAGGGTAGGCCTTACCCAATGACCTAAGGTAGACCTAAGCATATAGAGCCCGGAGGGTAGGCCTACCCTAGGCTTACCCCTAGGCCTACCCCCTAGGCCTACCCTAGGCCTACCCCCTACCCTACCCCCTAGGCCTGCCCCGTAGGCCTACCCCCTAGGTCTACCCTAGGCCTACCCCCTACCCTACCCCCTAGGCCTGCCCTAGGCCTACCCCCTAGGCCTACCCTAGGCCTACCCCCTAGGCCTACCCCCTAGCCCTACCCTAGGCCTACCCCTAAGCCTACCCACCCCTAAGCCTACCCCCTAGGCCTACCCCTATAGGCCTGCCCGCCCGCCGGATCGAGCAGACGGACCAGAACGGATCGGGTAGGATCGGGCAGGCATAAAAGTGTGGAGCATGTTCGCACTAGCACGCGTGAACCCTAACGGGCGGGTCGGGTCGGGTCGGGCGGACCCTAACGGGCGGGCCGGGTCGGGCGGGCGGGACATTAAAGTATGGTGCGTGTACACTTGACACGCGTGAACCCTCACGGGCGGGTCAGGTCGGGTCGGGCGGGCGGACCCTAACGGGCGGGTCGGGTCGGGTCGGGCGGACCCTAACGGGCGGGTCGGGTCGGGAGGGCTGGTGCGTGTACACTTGACGCGCGTGAACCCTAACGGGCGGGTCGGGTCGGGTCGGGCGGGCGGTAACGGGCGGACCCTAACGGGCGGTCGGGTCGGGTCGGGCGGACCCTAACGGGCGGGTCGGGTCGGGCGGGCGGGACATTGAAGTATGGTGCGTGTACACTTGACACGCGTGAACCCTAACGGGCGGGTCGGGTCGGGTCGGGCGGGGCGGACCCTAACGGGCGGGTCGGGTCGGGTCGGGCGGACCCTAGCGGGCGGGTCGGGTCGGGCGGGCGGGACATTAAAGTATGGTGCGTGTGCACTTGACACGCGTGAACCCTGACGGGCGGGTCGGGTCGGGTCGGGCGGGCGGACCCTAACGGGCGGGTCGGGTCGGGTCGGGCGGACCCTAACGGGCGGGTCGGGTCGGGCGGGCGGGACATTAAAGTATGGTGCGTGTACCTTGACACGCGTGAACCCTCGCGGGTCGGGTCGGGTCGGGTGACCCTAACGGGCGGGTCGGGGTCGGGTCGGGCGGACCCTAACGGGCGGGTCGGGTCGGGAGGCTGGTGCGTGTACACTTGCGCGTGGGCCCTAACGGGCGGGGTCGGGTCGGGCGGGCGGACCCTAACGGGCGGGCTGGGTCGGGCCGGGCGGACCCTAACGGGCGGGTCGGGTGGGGCGGACGGGACATTGAAGTATGGTGCGTGTAAACCCTAACGGGCGGGTCGGGTCGGGTCGGGCGGGCGGACCCTAACGGGCGGGTCGGGTCGGGCGGGCCCTAACGGGGCGGGTCGGGTCGGGCGGGCGGACCCTAGGGCGGGAACGGGGGCGCGGTCGGGTCGGGCGGGCCCTCGGGTCGGGCGGGTAGGGCGGGACATTAAATATGGTGGTACACTTACATTCGGGTAAAACCCTCGGGTCGGGCGTGGCGTGACCCTAACGGGCGGGTCGGGTCGGGTCGGGCGGACCCTACGGGCGGGTCGGGTCGGGCGGGCGGGACATTAAAGTATGGTGCGTGTACACTTGACACGCGTGAACCCTAACGGGCGGGTCGGGTCGGGTCGGGCGGGCGGACCCTAACGGGCGGGTCGGGTCGGGTCGGGCGGACCCTAACGGGCGGGTGGGTCGGGCGGGCAGGACATTAAAGTATGGTGCGTGTACACTTGACACGCGTGAACCCTAACGGGCGGGTCGGGTCGGGTCGGGCGGGCGGACCCTAACGGGCGGGTCGGGTCGGGTCGGGCGGACCCTAACGGGCGGGTCGGGTCGGGCGGGCGGGACATTAAAGTATGGTGCGTGTACACTTGACACGCGTGACCCTAACGGGCGGGTCGGGTCGGGTCGGGGTCGGGCGGACCCTAACGGGCGGGTCGGGTCGGGCGGACCCTAACGGGGGCGGGTCGGGTCGGGCGGGCGGGACATTCAAGTATGGTGCGTGTGCACTTGACACGCGTGAACCCTAACGGGCGGGTAGGCCTCGGGTAGGGGGGTAGGCCTAGGGGGTAGGCCTAGGGGGTAGGCCTAGGGGGTAGGCCTAGGGGGTAGGGGGTAGGCCTAGGGGGTAGGCCTAGGGGTAGGCCTAGGGTCGGCGTAGGGGGTAGGCCTAGGGGTAGGCTTAGGGTAGGCCTAGGGGGTAGGCCTAGGGGTAAGCCTAGGGTAGGCCTAGGGGGTAGGCCTAGGGGTAGGCCTAGGGTAGGCATAGGGGGTAGGCCTAGGGTAGGCCTAGGGTGTAGGCCTAGGGTAGGCCTAGGGGGTAGGCCTATGGGGTAGGCCTAGGGTAGGCCTACCCCCCGGGTTCGATATGCAATAAGGATGGAATTCACGAATGCAAAACCCTTAGAACGCTCCGAAATGGAAACAAACACGCTGACATTCAAAACCATTGCAATCGTAGTCAAGCAGCATCCGTGCCCCTAGCGCGCCTGGGCGCATCGGTGAGGTCACCCTTGGGCCGCGGAAGCCGAAAACGTGCTCAGGACGGCGAGAACCGAAGGATGCATGGTCCCCTTGCAAAAATTGCTGATCCATAACGCCCGTTTGGACCGTGCTTCGTCCTCCTCCGTCGTCCTGGCCAGAAGCGCGTCGGCGCGCAGTTAGTTACCAAAGAGGAGCCAAAGAGGAGAGGCAATAGCAGCAACAGGACGAGGAGGACGCAGACGCCGACGAGGGCAAGAACTGGGCCGCTATCGAAAAGGCAGCAGGCAACGGACCATAATGAATAGCGACAGCGAGCGATCGACTGGAGGGGAACGATCGATCGACGGGCGAAGCGCGATCGATCGACGA